CCAAAAGTTCGCTTAAAATTTTACTTAATATCATGCTGTTATACCTATGGTTTACCGAGCTCACGAGATGTATAATATTAAAAAAACTTTTCACCGGGTTATTTGCAAAAAGTAGACAAAAAGATCCAGGCGCAGGCGAACGCGAAGCATGCGAAAGAATGTGCGAAAGCAGTGCTTCCATATTAAAATTTTCAATTTCTATATATGACAGCGAAACTTTACATAAATTTCTATGAATTAACAAAATTCCATAGATTACCAATTCTATACTAAATCATCCAAAAATATCACACTTTATACCACACATGTTTCAACGTTTGAAATTTGAGGCCTGGGGCGAATTTTAAACTTGGGATAAGATTGATAAGAACATGATAAAAACATGTAGAGCACAGATGTGTACATATCTAGCAGGGCACTTGGTCTATATTATGTGTATAATATTAACTTTTAATTTCATTGAAAATTGGATTAATTGGACTTTTAACGCCGCATATTTTAGCACAATTTACAACTAGATATTTTCTGGGTAGTGAAATCTCCATAGAATTTCCATAATTTTTTTCAAATCCACAAGAAGTTAATTTCGCTTCAACAATTACATAAAAGATAGAAATTTCCATGAAAGTACAAGCACTGCATGTGCGAGGATTGAAAAAATAATTTAAACGCTCGTGCATACAACGTACAGAAAATGTACTCTAAGCATTGATGTACTCATCAACATTTTACTAAAACAAAGGAATTTTTTTCAGAATCTAAGGAAATCATAAACTTTTGAAGAGTGATCGGTTAAGTTTGTGTCATGCCAAAAATTCTGCCGCCGCTCTGTTCACTCTTTAAAATTGCATTTTCAGAGACGTCGTTTCGTTTTTGTTTCGTTTCGGCATGGTTTTTGTCGAATTATTGTAGTTCTACAAACGGTTGTTTTTCTGGCAGATGACCGTGTATTTGTTGGGCGCGCTGCAAAACAATGTAGAGACAAAAATACCCATATTTTTATGGGATCTACGAAATTGGCGTAAAAAGCGTCCGCTATCACCAATATTACTTACTGGAATAACAAATAAGAATTAGATAACGAATATAAACTGATAAGAAATTTGGAATAACGCACGGGAGTACGCCGTATCATCACGAGTGATGATCAGTCATCATCAGTGTTGATGATAAGATGTGCCTGAAAAAACCTGTCTAATTCCTTTTTTCATAGTTTCGCAGATTAAAATTACATATAAAACAAACATACCCTTACCAATGAACTCGGGAACATGCGGGTTTTTGAAATAAAAATCATCCTCGCTGCTATTTGACTTTTTAGGCAACGGGTTTATCTATACAAAACATTAAAACATTTTATTACGCACGCTTAACGAATAAAACTATCGTTTATAGTCGTTTAATTTTCAACTGACATATATAAACACGTACTGAACTTCGCAACCCACAACTTGTGCAGTTCGATTCGGATTTCGAACTTGAACTCCCTCAGTGCGCAGGGAAAAGCATTACCCGATCAAGTTAGCAAGGAAATTGCTGCGAAAGTGGTTAAATATAATGAAGGAATTGCCGAGTAAAAAACTGAAACATGTAGTTGTATTAGGTATTTTTATTGTTGTTGTACAAACAGTATTATTTTGTTGTGTTGATTTCACAGTGTTGTATTTTTACGAACACTGTAATTATAACTGTAATTGTAAATTTGTTGTACATTCACATTCCATGCATTCATAGCCTAAGAACAAGGCAAGGTGCAAAGTTGCAATGGTTCTACAGTGTGTATAAAAAACAACTGAACCCTTTCAAATTCAAATTAGCTATAACGTATTGTAGCAATTTGACAGCTCTAATTGCTTTGAATTAATGGTTGGGTAAGAACACAAGGTCTTGTACTCATGGGACTCAAGGGTAGGGATAAAGGGCGGATGCGGATACGGATGCGGATGGCGGATACGGATGCGGATGAGAAAATACGGATGAGAAAATGCGGATGGGGGATAAAACGCGGATGGGAAAATGCGGATGGGGGATAAAACGCGGATGGGAAAATGCGGATGGGGGATAAAACGCGGATGGGAAAATGCGGATGGGGGATAAAACGCGGATGGGAAAATGCGGATGGGGGATAAAACGCGGATGGGAAAATAATAATAATAATAATAAATAATAATAATAAATTATAATTTAATAATTTCTATTATACTGACAATTATTTGCGAAATTAAAGAGGCAATGTCACCCATATTTGACTAAAAATGCATTTTATTTACAGTGTGAACTGTAATTCTGAAAATAAACATCGTAAATGGATTTATGTATGACATAAGAGTAATACGCTTTTTGTGTTTGTTATTGCTTTATTTTGTAATTACAGCCATTCTTTCTCAGTTTTGTACAAGTTTTGAGAGAGTCAGAATTCCTCAAAAATCGGTGACATTGCCCCTTTAAGTCGGTTGTAATAACAATTTAAGGATTTTTTCAAGTACTAGTAGTGCAGTATCAATTCAACTAGGATTGCCACTTCTTTTGTATGAATTCTACCTACAATTATTTCCAAACCCCAAATATATTCAAGCGCTTTTATGCGCCAAATGTCGATCAAATAATTCTCACCAGACCTATAAATTTACCACATCTCAGGACTTACGCATGCAACAATAATAGGCATATGGTAAAACGCGGACTGGACTGGACTGGTAAAACGCGGACTGGACTCAGATTAGTAAAACGCGGACTGGACTCAGATTAGTAAAACGCGGACTGGACTCAGATTAGTAAAACGCGGACTGGACTCAGATTAGTAAAACGCGGACTGGACTCAGATTAGTAAAACCATAGAGGTAAAACGCGGACTGGACTCACTGATCTATTAATAGTAGACTGGATATAACTTCTGTGACACAAATTACTATAGAAATGTGAACAGTATGGCGAACAACGTGAACTAAGGTGAATTTTGCCAAATGTGAGATACTTTGCGAAGTTTTACCAAGTTGGTCGCTCCACAGTGGATAAAAGATGTTATGTTAATGCTGTTAAAACGAAAATTATCCAGATTGCCTTAAAATATCGTCAGTTTGGTTCGTTCAAAGTTGCCATGCGGGAATAATATTTTATCGCCACAGTGGCATGACAACACGATAATTTCTAGTTTACTCAAGCATACTGTTAAGGTAAAGTAAGTAGTTCGTTTTATCAATTATGTTTAACCTTGATCAACCAGAGGGTTTCAAACTTTCAATTATCCATCTTTAATACTAAGCCTTTTTACAAAATATATATACATGTCTTTGTTGTTACTAAATATATTTGTACTTTTTAAATTTGTCATTTTGTTAAACTGGAAGGCAACCTTAATAAAGCTTTCTGTAGAGTGAATCCACTTTTATATTGCATTTGAATTTTGAACTTTCAGTTGTAGAGTGTAATCAGTGACAGTGTATATTGTTTTAGTGCAGTGACTCCAAAGGCATGCAGAGTGTAAAGTTCATTATTAATTTTGATCATTCATTTATATCTAAACATTTGTTATTGTAAAATATCTGTAGGTGCTTTTCCACCAAATTCCCAGCATATATATGTGCTTGTTGGTTTATATATGCCCCAGGGGTATTCAAAAAAGAAACACTGGTTGCAACAATGTTGTGTTTTGCAGGGCCAGATTAATTAACATTTCGCGGGGCCTGTCCACCTGTGGCATTTTATCAGTGCGGGGACCCAAGACAGCGCCCCCCCCCTGCATTTTAAACACTGAATTCAGAAAGATTCAAAAACATAAACATATCCTTTTGTATTGTACGTGTTGAGAAGTTGCTTGAAATTTGTGTATTTACAAAAAAAGGAAGTATACATCAATAATTTGTACTAAAATTAAGTGACACAATGGGTATCAACAATAATATCATATGACAAGTAATACCTAAAAGTGTATACCTGCTGTGCAGTGTGCATTATGTTTGGTTGGGCCCTGCACTGAAATAGGGAAAACCGTGGGGCATGTGGCATATGCCGCTTCTGCCATATGGTTAATCTGGCACTGGTGTTTTGTCACCTGCATGGGGTTTCTTGACATAGTTGTTGAAACAGCACAACTGGAAACAACTGGCCATGGTAACCATGCTTTTGAAGCATAGATAATATATATAGATAGTATTAGAGATAATTTCATAAATAGCATGAAGTATATTTGTCTTCTAATGTCAGAATATGATCACACTGCCTATAGTTGCCTGACAATTTTACTTTTGTATCAATGAGTCGAGTCCATCAGTGGTTGAGGTTAAAGCAGGTTATTATTTCAAATTAACTTTGAATGATATCTTTTATATTTGTTCATATATTTCAATATTGAATAATAAATACACAGCACATTTTAAATCAATTTTGTAAGTTTTTCTAATTCAAAACTCAACTGCATTTTCTGCATTGTAAAAGTGGATTCACTCTACAGAAAGTTTTATTATAAAGGTTGCCTTCCAGTTTAACAAAATAATAAATTTAAAAAGTACAAATATATTTACAAATATATTTTGAGAAAAACACATCAACCATATTAGCAGTAAAATATCATCAGGTATTGGGGCTATTAGAAAAATGAGGGAGTATGTCGAACAAGACATTTTGATAAAAGTTTATAATGCCTTAATCCAACCTTATTTTGATTATTGCTGTGAAGTATGGGATACACTTAATAAAGGCCTAAGTGAACGTCTACAGAAATTCCAAAACAGAGCGGCTAGGTTGATCATGAACTTAAAAAATAAACATGGTCAGTCTATTTTGGCACGAAAATCTCTAGGCTGGGTAACACTTGAAGAGCGTAGGGCACAAATGAAAGCCAGGCTCATGTACAAGACAGTTAATGGTTTAGCCCCCCCAACGACTATGTGAAGCTTTCCAAAATCTGAATACCATTCATGACCATAATCTGAGAGGTTCTTCAACAAGGTTTTATATTCCAAGACCAAAAACGGAATCCTTAAAAAAAAGCTTCCAACATAGTGGGGCTAAACTATGGAATCAGATACCTGAAGAGATACGCAATTCGGTATCGTATAATTCGTTCTGTAAAAAGCTATCTTCCTCGACCTTAATCTCGACTTAAAGTAGGCTAGTAGTTAATTTTTTGTCTAAATAGGTATATAATTGTATTTGTTATGTATGTAATATTAGAGCTAGTATATAAATAATAATTTGTAAGTACACATCCCTTTTGGAAATCAGCTTTTGCTGAAAAGGCCAATGTGTTTAAATAAAGTTGATCTATCTATCTATCTAGTAACAACAAAGACATGTATATATATTTTGTCGAGGGGTAAATTACTCTGAAAAAAGCGTACGAGGATTTTTGGGATTAGAAAATCCCGGCAATTTTTCTCGGGATTCTGCGATTTTTTTCTCGGGATTCTGGGATTTTTTTGGGATTTTTTTCAGCTGATTTTTTCGAAATATTTTCGCTTATTTTTTTCGCCGAACTTTTTCCGACATTTTTTGCGACATATAATCCGTCGAATTATTTTTAAAACGAAGTAAATCAACAAAGGACATTCTCACGCCAATTCACGATATAAATGTTTAAATGGGATTTCTCAATATTGCAATAGTTTTGAGGATTTTATTGGGCTTTTTCCAAGTATTTTATGCAATTTTTAGAGATTTCTTGGGATTTGGGGATTCTGGGATTTAGTAAGATTTTGGGAGTTTTCCAAAGATTTTTTGGGATTTTTGATGAAGTGTACGAAGATTTTCAGAGTAATTTACCCCTCGTATTTTGTAAAAAGGCTTAGTATTAAAGATGGATAATTGAAAGTTTGAAACCCTCTGGTTGATCAAGGTTAAACATAACTGATAAAACGAACTACTTACTTTACCTTAACAGTATGCTTGAGTAAACTAGAAATTATCGTGTTGTCATGCCACTGTGGCGATAAAATATTATTCCCGCATGGCAACTTTGAACGAACCAAACTGACGATATCTAAGGCAATCTGGATAATTTTCGTTTTAACAGCATTAACATAACATCTTTTATCCACTGTGGAGCGACCAGTTTGGTAAAACTTCGCAAAGTATCTCACATTTGGCAAAATTCACCTTAGTTCACGTTGTTCGCCATACTGTTCACATTTCTATAGTAATTTGTGTCACAGAAGTTGTATCCAGTCTACTATAATAGATCAGTGAGGTCCAGTCCGCGTTTTACTAATCTGAGTCCAGTCCGCGTTTTACTAATCTGAGTCCAGTCCGCGTTTTACTAATCTGAGTCCAGTCCGCGTTTTACTAATCTGAGTCCAGTCCGCGTTTTACTAATCTGAGTCCAGTCCGCGTTTTACTAATCTGAGTCCAGTCCGCGTTTTACTAATCTGAGTCCAGTCCGCGTTTTACTAATCTGAGTCCAGTCCGCGTTTTACTAATCTGAGTCCAGTCCGCGTTTTACTAATCTGAGTCCAGTCCGCGTTTTACCAGTCCAGTCCAGTCCGCGTTTTACCATATGCCTATTATTGTCCTGAGATGTGGTAAATTTATAGGTCTGGTGAGAATTATTTGATCGACATTTGGCGCATAAAAGCGCTTGAATATATTTGGGGTTTGGAAATAATTGTAGGTAGAATTCATACAAAAGAAGTGGCAATCCTAGTTGAATTGATACTGCACTACTAGCACTTGAAAAAATCCTTAAATTGTTATTACAACCGACTTAAAGGGGCAATGTCACCGATTTTTGAGGAATTCTGACTCTCTCAAAACTTGTACAAAACTGAGAAAAAATGGCTGTAATTACAAAATAAAGCAATAACAAGCACAAAAAGCGTATTACTCTTATGTCATACATAAATCCATTTACGATGTTTATTTTCAGAATTACAGTTCACACTGTAAATAAAATGCATTTTTAGTCAAATATGGGTGACATTGCCTCTTTAATTTCGCAAATAATTGTCAGTATAATAGAAATTATTAAATTATAATTTATTATTATTATTTATTATTATTATTATTATTTTCCCATCCGCGTTTTATCCCCCATCCGCATTTTTCCATCCGCGTTTTATCCCCCATCCGCATTTTCCCATCCGCGTTTTATCCCCCATCCGCATTTTCCCATCCGCGTTTTATCCCCCATCCGCATTTTCCCATCCGCGTTTTATCCCCCATCCGCATTTTCCCATCCGCGTTTTATCCCCCATCCGCATTTTCTCATCCGTATTTTCTCATCCGCATCCGTATCCGCCATCCGCATCCGTATCCGCCCTTTATCCCTACCCGTTTTTATGAGCGACTGTTCGTCGTTAGTTGCAAACGACGGTAATATAAACAATTAAACATAGTCAAGGTCGAAAGCGATTAACTGTTAGATTTCCTTTTATACTATTTTATAACGAAATAATAGCGTTATTTCTTACAAATTTAGCTTTATTGTAGATTTATTGAAAGTATAAAAAACATGGAAACGATGAAGAATGACTGTAGATTGAAAATAAGTGAAATTATCGACGTAGAATGCTATATTTCGTTGTATTAAATTTCAATAGTATTAATGAGAATTTTGTTTGATATTTTAAAAATATATTTCATGTTATTTAGTATATTTCATGTTATTTAAGTTTTGCATACAATATAATCAGTGTGAGTAGAATGACTCCGTTTCAATTTTAGCATTTCAATTTTAGAGTATTTTGATAGCGTAGCCTTCACAGAATATAACATAATATAATGTAAATTAACAATTAAGGAGTTTGCCTTTCCTCGACGAAAGCCGTTGGACGAAAAGTCAAAAAGTTAACGTGCATGGGCCATGAGTGATGAAAATGCTCGAGAAAATGCTCGTCGGAAAAACCCGGTAATTAATATTGTTGTAATTTACGAATTTGCGACGTGACCGGTACGCTCACCACCGCTCACCGCTCACGACGACATGAAATTTAGAGCTATAAGAAAGTTGCATGCCATATATGGCATGCAACAAAAAAAAAGTAGTTGCACTTGTTTTGCGCATGCTCAAGGCACCGCACTAGTATGTCTGGTTGTGACAATTGGTTGCGACATATTACCTATACACCGATTCGAAAAATAGAAGTCATCACTTTTCCTCTCGAAATTACAGTAAGACTAACAGATTTATAAAGTTCAATTAAAAGAATACCATGTACAGTATCTCGCCATGTGTTCTCCTCGAGAAATTAAATTTTAGAAATACCGACGTTTATGCTAGGTTATAAAGTTCAGATGATCAAACTGATTATCAATTTCCCATTTGTAACACAAAATGACTGAAAAAAAGGCAAACTTCGCAAGGCTATATTTTCCGCATTTTACAACATTTCGCAACGGAACTTCGGAATATTACTAATTTTGTGATGCTCTTTCAAGCTATGATGAAATTTTTGTCCAGACTTGTCTAGATCAAAATTTCACTCAAAAGGGGAAAGGTCTACTAATAATTTGTTTGTAATGTTTGTAAATCTATGATCACGTAAACGGAAACAATAGTAAACAAGTATTTAAATCAAACAACTACAACTGCCTGAAAATTGAAACAAAATTCGACGGGTCGAGCGAAAGCCCTTCGTGCGGGAAAAACACAATTACTTTTATACCAGTGAATACAAAATGAATACGTGATTAAAATAAACAAATCAGATGAACTTAGGGGCTGTTTATATGGAGCCGGGCTGGCCCACTTAGCGAGGCAGCCCGGTAAACGGAATGAATTTCACTTGTGTTTATATGAGAAAATTTCATCCCGCTTGCCGGGACAATTTGTTATTTTTGATATAGTTAAGTAAAAAATAGCTTTGGGCGGTATCTTTGAACTTTCATCCCGGCAACCGGGTTAAGGAACATTGTCATACCGGTAAGCGAGATCTCGACTCTTTCAAGCGAGATCTTGGCAACCGGGCCAGCCCGCTTGTCAATATAAATGCACGGTAATTTTTACTATAAAAATAATTACACAGTGAGATATCGCTTACCGGCCGGTCTTGCTAAGTGGGCCAGCCCGGCTTCCATATAAACAGCCCCTTAGTCAAAACAATTTTTTTCGACAAAATTTTTACTCACCAGTCGTACTAGGACTTCTAAGTGAATCAGAATTTGGTAAACCTCTATTAGATGGAGGAACAGGTGGACCATTTACAAGTTTGTTATTGGAAGCCCCTGTATTTCTTCCGGAATCCACTGAATTTAGACTGCTTTTGGATGCAAATGAGTTTGACGAGTGGAAACTGGGTGAAACGCCACCTCGATTTGGTGGGGGTGGTGGTTGTGAGAAAGATGGTGTGCTTGATACGCTTGATGGTAGTTGAGGTGTTGATCTGTTAGGTGGTGGCGGAGGGCCAGGTGGACCTCGAGATGGCGGTGGAGGTGGTAGTCCACCTCGACCAGGAGGAGGTGGTGGTAGTCCACTTGGACCTCTGCCAGGCGGCGGAGGCCCTCGATTTGGGGGCGGTGGAGGTGGCCCGGGTGCTCTAATTGAAGTATTAGATGGTCTGCCAGAGGGTGGAGCAGGAGGTCCACCTCTACTGGGTGGTGGAGGTGATGATGCAGATGGTCCTCGGCTAGGAGGAGGTGGTACTGGTGCAGATGGTGCGCGATTAGGAGGAGGGGGCGATGGTGCAGTTGGCCCTCTACTTGGTGGTGGTGGGGCTGATGACCTACCAGGTGGTGGTGGTAAAGGTGACCCAGGTCCTCGGTTAGGTGGAGGTGGTGGTGGTCCTCCTCCTGAACCTCTACTAGGTGGGGGAGGTCCTACTCTGCTTGGAATGGAATTTCTACCAGGTGGTGGTGGCGGTCCAAGAGGGCCACGAGGACCATCAGTTTTGGTCATTGGAGGCGGTGGTGGAAAGTTAGCCAAGCTATTTGACGATCCAACATTATTTCTACCAGGTGGTGGTGGTGGTGGTAAACCTTGACCAGGTGTTGGAGGCAAAGCATCTCGTACTGACCTCTTAACAGACCCAGGAGGTGCGCCTGGTGGTCCTCTATCAGGAGGGGGTGGAGGACCTGGTCCCCTACCACCTATACCTGGCCTTGGACCTGGTGGTCTTGGAGATCCTGTAGGACCAGGTGGTCTTGGAAATCCTGCAGGACCAGGTTGTCTTGGAAATCCTGCAGGACCAGGTTGTCTTGGAAATCCTGTAGGACCAGATGGTCTTGAAAATCCTGTAGGACCAGGTGGTCTGGAAGATCCTGTAGGACCAGATGGTCTAGGACCAGATGGTCTGGAAGATCCTGCAGGACCAGACGGACGTGGTGCTGGCGCCCTCATGCCAGGGGGTTTTAAGGCTCCTCCTACGAAAAACAATAAAAGACTTTCAAAACCTGATTTGAAAGATATAGAGATAGAAAAAAGCATAGCATTATTGTTGTTATTATTAACAATATTTTAACACGGTACAATTTCACCTAATAAAAAATAATTATGTATACAATGTAAAAAGATGATCTTCCAACCGGCCGTGCTCACACAAGTAGAAATAAGAAATATATTATTTACAAGAAGATTATTTAAAATAGATAGAAACAAAGGCAGAATTACTTCATGTTAATTTGCATGTTTCAAGTTAAACTTAAACTTAAAATTAACAATAGTTGTCGATGCTTTTAGCGAGATGCAGAAAGGCAGTTGCATGCAGACTTCCGCACCTCTATAGGAGAATGCATTTTTCATTATTATTATTATTTGTTTTTGGTTTAGGCAATGTCAAATCAGCTCACCCACATTTGTGAACATATCACACAAGTAATCGGGGACCAATCTGTTTTTTACCTTGTACATGAAAATTGAAAGTTGTTGCATCTATCTTTTTTCGATGTTCGGAACTCCTAGCTTATTTAATATATCAGCCGATCGTGTCGTGTAATTTTCACGTGTGATTATTCTAAACGCTCTGTTTTGTAATTTGTGTACTATGTTTTTCCTAATCAACCCTGCACTTGAGCACAATAATCGAAATAAGGTTGAATTATGGATTGGTGTATTGTTAAGGTATTGAATTGGACTGTATCCCGGAGTCGTCTGAGAATAGCGAGGCCTGAGGTGACCTTTTTTGAAACGTATTCGATATCGTTACATTTTTTGTAAATTTATCGAAATTTTCGCCATAATTATTTTTTAATTAGTGCCACTCAAATATTTTTGCTGACAACGAAAACAATTTGCCGACAAATCCGTTATTTTGCCAACAAGATGTTTTCAGGGGGAGGGTCACACCCCTAATATTCTGAGATGCACCTGTCATACAAAATTATATCCAAACAACATGATTTTCTGCTCAGAAAACCGGCTTTTTTCCCTTTGGCTTTCATAACTTCATTTGCTCATATTCAGAAAAATATAGAATTTTCAAATATTACCGCGGTAAAAAGCAAAGCAATGAGTCTGTCCTCTAATAAATCATAAATCTTATTAAGACAAATAGCAATATAAATTTTTATATTCTGATTTGAACCTATGAACTTTTGAAACTATACGTCAATTTCTTTTATCGATTTTTCATATCTGCTTAGTTCTTGAAATATTTTCACTTGAAGTAATGAGATGTCCGCCATCTTGGATAAATTTTTGATCTCATTGACGGTAGTTTTGGTGACGTCATAAAAGGGATTAACCATATAAAAGTATTCGTTGCTTATCAAGTATTGATTGGTAGATGTTTTAAAGGTTTTGACTTTTGAATGATCGTGACATGCATATCTACAAAAATTGATGATGGCGGACATTTCATTCCTTTCGGTCAAAATATTTGTAGAAGTAAGCAAGATATGAAAAGACAGTAAACGAGTTATATATAGTCTTATAAGTTCTTTCAAATGAGAAAATAAAAAATATATTGCCATTTCCCTTTTAAACGAAATCGCTTGAATTCATTAGGTTATTATATACGGTAAAATTATAGACACTGTAAGTATGTATACAGTGTAGTCATTGTGACAAGCGTTCGCTAATGTTTTACTCGGACTAAAAGGGAACAGATATGATAGAGAGAAAGCACACGATGCTGTACAGTATCTACCACAGCTTAAAGTGTGTTTACCCACCTCCACGTGTCCCAGAAGGTCGCAACTTTGGCATACCACCAGCAAATATTCCGCCTAATCCACCAGCAGAACCACCACCCCCAGAGGAACCACCACCGCCGCCTTTTGGTTTATCTAAAACAAAATAAGTTACAGATTTTTCTTATAAAAATACTTTGCAAATACCCAACCCTATCTACACAATCCAATTCTGTAATACTAACTCCACAAATATCGAGGTTCGATATATATACAAACATAAATCAAGTGGAAATTTATATGCATTTATTAGACCTAACCAGGAACAGTTGTGAAAAATGCAACTATAGGTCCCTGGCAGGAATCGAACCCACGGTCCTGCGATTCCGGGGCAGCGCTCTAACCAACTGAGCTACAGAGGCCAGTCGTCGAGCTCTAGCCACAAGTTCATGCATATATATATATATATATAGGGTACTGCCATGTTTTAGGCTAGGCCAAAAAAATATGTGGGTTTCCGGTTTCTTCTTATAAAAATTTAGGTAGGGTAGGTCTGTTTTAACTTTTTTTTTTAACTTTTTTTTTAATTTTCTGAACAAGCGGACGCCATTTTGTTTAGTCAGTGCTTCCACATCCAAAGATAAATTTCCCTAATATTGCCTCAAATTTCAATCTTCCACAAACTTTTTCCTCTAAGTGGAAACACTTACAAGCATGATCCAATAAAAAAGTTTAGGGTCGGGATTTCGACGTCCAAAAGCTAGGTAGGGTCGGGAAACCGGAAACCCACATATATTTTTTTGGCCTTATAGATAAATATCGAGATTTTGTTGGCATCTCACTCGATTCAATAATAGTTGAAGGGTCTTGCAGATGGAAATTATCGAGTGGAAAATCCAAGGACCTACAGTATAGTTGCATTTCTAGCAGCTGTTCCTGGTCAGGTCTAATAAATGTACAGTATATAAATTTCCACTAGATAATTTCCATATCTACTGTACAAGACCCTTCAACTATCATTGAATCGAGTGAGACCACTTTCTGGTCGGAAAATGTACGACGGTTAAATCGAGTCTTGCGCGGATGCGGACCTAAAATTTGTTTCATGGAAAAGTTTAAGTTTTGTTTGTTGAATATGCTGTTTGCGTTTCTCTAGAGTTCTCGGGTTTTCCCATGCCCAGTCTTGCGCGATCTTTAAATTCTTGCCAATGTCTGCTTGCGTAGGTTGGTCGGTTTTTGGACGTTTTTGGCAAATTTTAAGAATGGGCGTATACTGTAGCTTTGCACATACACGCGTAAAAACGCTCAGGTTGATGCAATACTGATGAAAACAGGATTGAACAATGTTTTGCTGCCCACATTGTTCATAGCTGTCAACAATATTGAACAATATTGTTACACCCGATTCAGGCTCAACAACATTGCTCAAT